AAATATAAAATAATCAAAAAAGTTAAGTATATATAAGTTTAGATTAATTAGATAAATATTGAATTAAACTTTGATTTTACAGCTAATTTAGGTAATTACGTAAGAATAATTAATTTTAGGTAATTATGTAAGAATAATTAATTTTAGGTAATTATGTAATTATGAATAATTGAATTAAAAGACTAAATGAAAGCTAAAATAAAATATTGTTTAAAATTTAATTTCACTTTAAAATAAAACTTTCGAAAAATTAAAATTTTTTTTTTTTTTTTTTCCCTTGTATAAAAAAGCTTTTTAAAAGCAAAAAAAAAAAAAATTATTGTAAAACTATAAACATTTGCTATAACTACAAAAAATCAAGAAAAATAATCATGAACACATCGAAACACAGTTCCGGCTATGTCAACCATAAAAACATTGTCCAGCTTCTTTTTGTTTCTCTTGAAACCGTTCAACCGTTATATTTTTGTGAAACTAGAAACTAGAAACTATTATGCTTGAACTTTAAGATATTTTATTATTTATTTATTATTTTTTATTATTTATACTATTACAACTTTATTTTTTATAAAGTATTTTTTATTATTTATACTATTACAACTTTCTTTAATGTGAATATAGATTCTTTCTTTTTTGCGTGATTTTGTGTGTGTGTGTGTGTGTGTGTGTGTGCAGGCGCGGATGCAGCATTTTTTGATGTTTGATATGCCTAACTTCCAGACATGGAGCGAACTTTAAAAATTTATGTGTTTACATCTATATCAAATAAGGATGATTTACAAAAAATTGCAATGATTGGAGCCTGGGAACAAAAAAACCCTAATATTTTAGCTACACCTGCCCCAATCGTGAGAGCAACAAGTTGATAAAACAATTTTTATACTATTCTTAACTAAATCTATATTCATCGATAAATTTTAAAATTCACACAAAAATCTCTTAGCATTCAAAAACTATGATCATAAAAAGTTTTAGCCCCCCTCAATATGAGGGGGTTGCAAATTTTAAAAGGCTATAATTGTTAAGCGCTAAGAGATTATTGTGTAAGTTTTAAAATTTATCGATGAATATAAACTTGGTTATGAATAGTAAAAAAAATATTTCATCAACTTGTTGCTCTCACGTTTGGGGCAGGTGTAGCTAAAATTTTAGGGCCTTTTTGTTCCCAGGCTCCAATCATTGCAATTTTTTGCAAGACATCCTTATTTGGTATAAGTATAAAAATATAAATTTTTGGAGTTTGTTCCATGTCTGGAAGTTAGGTATCTCAAACATTAAAAAATGCTGCATCCGCGCCTGGTGTGTGTATGTGTGTGTGTGTGTTTGTGGCTCCCATCGAAGATTAAAGTCTATGTCCAGGCCTTGAAATCGAATATTAAAGTCTATGTCCAGACTATGGAGGAAGTTAAGTAAATTTGTAAAAATGTCTTTTTACAGCCTAACGCGCATCATGTTTCATTTCTTAGTCTTCAACAAGATTTTCTTCAAACAATGCTATTTGTTAATTTGATGCGCTGAATAACATTTAAACAGTTGCCTTGGCAACTTCAATAATTTGTTTAGACTAGCCATTTTAATAAGTTATTCATTTTAATAAGTTATCTATTAGTTATGCAATAACTTTAACCTTGTAAAATAGTTTTTGAAACTTTTTTACTTTTAAATATTGCTTCATAAAAAGAAAAATTGAGAATGAGAATAAAAAACTTTTTATAAAAAACATCTGTATTATTTAAAGCATTTATGAAAATTTTGAAGATTTCCTTTTAAACTAGTATAATCCTTAAAATATCTTAATTACAGTCAAGTATAAAATATTTTAATCGTCTTCACTGCTGGTTTTTTCGGGTACTTAAATTGTATAGATTTGCCGGGTACCTGGCTAGCGCCCAGAAAACCGGGACCAAGCTGGGTACTTGGCACATCTCTAATAAAAAAAAAAAAAAAACTAAATAAAAAAAAGTTTTATGCTTAGCACATGTTGCTTAAGAAAAGTACAAAGAAATTTGTGACTTAAACTAGTTTATTAAAAGTTTTTATTTTGAGGGCACGTTTGATAATTTCTTCAGAAATGATGTTAACACTTTATTACAAATATGTATATAGTATGATTCAGAGACTATTTGATTAGTTTCAACTTTACTTGTAAATTTTTAAAGACTTACTAAATAGTTATTGCATACCAAGCACCATAAAGACATTAGTTTACAAATATTTTCTTTTATTAAATTAACTAAAAAGTATTTCTGTATAGAAGAAATAATCTTTTTTTATAACAATGCCAGGGCCGACGAAACGGGGGGGGGGGGGCAGGGAGCTTCCCAGTGTCGTCGTCAAGTCGTCAATTTTTGTTTTTTAGAAAATTAAAATAGAGGAATTTTTTTATAAGTTGACAATTGTGCCTCTCCGCTTCGAAAATCGTGTTGTCCTCCATGAATCAGTACAGTATGTTTTTGTGAGAAGAAAGTTTGCAGTGCTGGTACTGCACCAAGCAATGTTGGTAGTTATGGTAACATTGCGTTAAAGTAAAGTATATGTATTTCAAACAAGATTGGTTTAAAATTTTATTAAACCCTCTTTTGTTTTTTCCGGGCCTTTTTTTCAAACAACTCTGTTTGAAAAGCAAAAATACTTAATCTTTTCTTTTCTTCAGAAAATAAAATTTTTAGCCTATGTTTTTAATATATTGTTCATATATATATATATATTTTTTCTTTTTTTTTTTTTTTTTTTTACAACTATTTTCGTCATATTTATAATAAATTATTTACAATATATACATTTTGAGTTGAGATATGACAGGAGCAGGCAGAAGACAAAAGTCTTATCATCCAGCCACTTTGTATCATTTACATATCACATATCAAACCAAAAAAAATAAAAAATAAAAATAAAAAATTACCAATCATATAAGAAAATATATATATATATATATACTTATACACACATACACATACATACACGTGCACATACATACATATACATATATACACATGCACATACACATATACACATACACATGTTTATATATATATTACAATCTCAGTAAAATAATATTAAATACTTTTTTTTTTTTTTTTTTTGCCAAATACAATACAAATATAAAGATAAGTAATGATATAAAGTGTGATGATATATATATATATATATATATATATATATATATATATATATATATATATATATATATATATATATATATACTTAAATATAGAAAAAACAACTTTTAATGGAACTTAAAGTTTCATGCCTATCGGCAATCATCAGCCATGAAGTACAAAAAACTATTTTTTACTACTTTTTTTTTTTTGTACTTCATGGCTGATGATTGCCGATAAGCATGAAACTTTAAGTTCCATTAAAAGTTGTTTTTTTCTATATTTAAGTATAAAACGCTCTGTTTTTGAAAAACTAAATATTTCTTAAATATTGAGGACTCTACAACGATCAAGAGTTTAGTATTTTTAATACTAAATCATACAACAACAATATATATATATATATATATATATATATATATATATATATATATATATATATATATATATATATATATATATATATATATATATATATATATATATATATATATATTTAAATGAGGCAGTCATTGGAAACGACCCCTTCATATTGTATGCACTTTTAATATGTTGATCAGAATATAGAGAAAACCTCTTTAGGAAAAAAAGGTTTCCAAAAATGTGTTGTTTACTCGGAACCCGGGTTTAAAATTTTGGTTTTTTTTTGCATGCCACCTAAATCCCATCCATATATTTTGGTATGAAATTTAAAATAAAAGTTTATTCTTAGAAATGATCCGTTACGACAGAGGTACTAAGTTTTGTAAAACTATAAGCATGCTAAAATGTTAATACAACATGGTCCTGATATAACTAAAAATAAAAACTTATGCGATCTATAAATATTAAGTTACAATTGAAGGTACAAATTGTTCAAATTTAACCAAAAATGATTATAAATTCATTGTTGAATTAAGTAGAATGCCTTAAAGTATATTTAGTGTTTGCAAGTAAATAATTCTTCAGTATTTTAAACTAATTTTCTTTTAAAGAACATTCTTTTATGAAGAGATATTTTTAGAACGCACAGTTGAGGGATTAAGCTTGGTTTCCGCTTGACAGCACGATTAAATTTCTATTATCTGAATTTAGCATTTAACATGGCAGAAAATGTTGTAAATAATGTTAGGAAAAAGTTTAAAACTTTTCTGGCCATTATATAGAAAGCATAACTATTGAAATAAATAATAATATACTATTAGAAGAAAATTAATTGAACTTTTGTAATAAGCAAACATTTTGTGGTGGTTAAACATCTTGTGGTGATTAAACGCAACGAAGAATCTCCTATATCACAACCATAGAAAAACCAGTTAGCGAGCGGTTGTCAAAAAACAATTTATTTTACCATTAAAAATCATTAATTTTTTTTTAATAATCCTTAAAACTTGTATAAATGGCGTATATATTTTATAAACGGAAATGAGGGGCAATTTATTTTAATAGTGTAGGGGTTGTATAAATAGAACTTGTTTTTTAGTTTAATATGGAACAAAAAACTATTATTGCTTTTACATAGAAAAATGTGGATTGTTCAAAAAACATAAAGTTGTAAACAATATGTTCTATATTCAGCAATGATGAGTTTGAAGAGCAATGCTATCCGGTCTTAATACAGTTCCGAAATTAATAACATCATTAGGTAGAGTTCGCAGCTCATTTGTTTAGAAAATTAAAATTTTGCCACAACTCAATATATCTATTTTTTCATTCTATAATAATGTTTCTATAGATGACAAACTACCGTATCGGGTAAACATTTTGAATTGCAAGTTAAGATATTACCGATTCAAAGTTCTTTTAGATTTTTAAATCAACAAAAAGCACTGTTGTATAGCTATTTTATTCGTTAAGAAGAATTAGGTAATAAAATAAGCACTAATCAGGGTCACATGATTTGTTTTACTGATCGATCACATGATCATAAGGTTCGTTTAGAAAAGATTTTCCGCTTTATATTTAACTAGCCAACAGATAAGATTTTTATTTTCAAGGTAAGCATTGTTTATATTAAACACATTTACAAGTACATTTATTAAGTTTTTGATCGATAATTAGTTCTTTTGCAAATATGTTGTTGTAGGATTAGTAACCTGAAAAGAAAAAGTATGCAAAGGTGGGTCCTTCGTTAGAAAATGATAAAAACAATCATATTAACAATAGGAAGAAAGTTTATGGTAAAAACAATGACTATAATCAGGCAGATGACAATAATTTATATGAGAAAGACATTGCCAATTTTGAAAAATAAATTTGTTTTGTTTAAAAAGTGAAAGATTGAGTTGCTTTTCTATATAATAAATAATGGAATATGGAGTATGCTGTGGAGGTAATATTATTTAAAGCATGTATTAGTTTTTAAGTTTTTGTTTTGTTTTTACAAAACAGTGCTCTTCAACTTAAATAAAAAAGTATGCAAGTGGCATAAATAAAATGTAAAAAGCTATCAGTGAAAAAATTATATTGAACTATGAAAGTTTTACTGAAGGTAAAAAAAAAATACACAAGTTATAAATTCTAGTTTAGGTAATATTGTTTCAAAAAGTTGCGCAAATATCTTTAGGTATTATATCTACGATATGAGTTATTTGTATAAATAACGGGCAAGAGAAAAATACTTTTCACTTTCCAAAGGAGATAAACTATCAAACTTAAAAAGTTATCTTTTTAGTAAAAGTTGCCTTTTTCTAATTAGTAGTTGCGGTAATTACGCATTATTTAAAGAAGACTAAAATACAGCATACCCAGTAAGCACAGAACGTTTTTTTAAACGTTTTAGTTTTTATTTTATTTTTAAACGATCTGTGACTACTGGGTAGTCACTGCTTTTAGAGAAACTTACTGCAGCAGAGTTAAATATATCATAATGTGGTGGATATTGATTTTTTGTGCGTCAATGACTCTATTTCTCAATGAGCAACTAATTTATCACTGGAAATACATTTAAACCAGTGGACAAGGACGTAAAAAAGACGTCTTTTAAACGTTGTGAACGTCTTTTAAACGTTTTGGACGTCTTTTGAACGTTCAAAAGACGTCTTTTTTTGGTCTGGTGCCCACTCGGAAATGTTTGATTTACGTTTCATTAAATTAACAAATAGTTTTCTTGCTGTTTGATTTTTTTTAAATTTTAATCCACGTTATTTCATGAGTATAACAAAATCACACATCTTTTTTTGATTATATATCAAGCTCAAATTTTTACAAAAATTAGTGCCTCTGTAGCACTAATTTTTTTTTAAATTCATTTTAATTTCAAACCTTTATATATGGATAGGCCCCTATATTTTGATCAACATATTAAAAATTTAAGCAATCTGAAGGAGGCCACTTTTACAAGTCTAGAAGTTTGGTTTTTAAACAAAATGGCTCCTAATCAGAAAATGTTAGAAAGTTGATATTACTCAGTTTTGAATCTTTGCAACATATTAGACAAAATAAAATTACTTTTGCATTTTAATTATCGTTGTTCAAAGTTTGAATAAAAACCTTAAAAATTTTAAAAATATTGTTAGATGAGCTTAAACAGGATTTTGAAATTATATGTTTGACGGAAGTTTGGGTAAATAGCGGTGAAACAAATTCTGAATTTGAACTAATTAGTTACGTACCAATTAACCAACCACTTGAATGTAATGCAGGTAGGGGCGTTAGCATTTTTATCCATAATTAACTTAATTATATTTACATAAAGACCTCTGTATTAATGAAACAGATCGTGAATCATTTTACATTAAATAAAATTGAAAAAAAAAGATACTTAATTTTTTGTTGTTGGTTTGTTATTTTAGGTTCCCTAAAGAAGACTTAACGGTCTTGTCACAGAGCACCGCGGAAGTGTATTCAACCAGGAAGTTCACGCCTCTTTCCTTACCGCGATCTTCTGCTTATAAAGTAAGCGCTCTAACCACTGCGCCACGGCGGCACTTAAAAATACTTAATACAAAATTAGCAAGCAATAAACAAATCAACAAGAGTTACAAATAACTCTTTTGATTTACTTGATAACATCAAAACTAACAGTTTTAAGAATAACTCTCTTTTCACAGGTTTTTTTAATTTCAACTTTAATTCAGTCCAATATATTGGATTTTTTTCCTACTTAGCTATCAATAACCTTTTAATTAACAGGAACTTTTATTCATTGATCTGTCAATAGCTTTTAATACCATTAATCACAATATGTTAATAAAAAACCTAAAAAAAACGGAATGAAAAATAAAAACTTATTTTGGTTCAAAGAGTAACAGTATAAAAGTTTTTGTTTCGTAAACAATAAGAAAACGACATCAAGGCTGTACTTAAATGCTTAATCTTTATACGTTGACGCAAATAGGTACGTTTATAATAATTTAAAAATATAGTATTTTAAAGGTTTGCCCAAGAAAAATATTAAAAATGGCGCAACGAAACGGCAATCAACCAAACTTCATATTAAATGAATGGAGTATAAAGAATGAACGGAGTTATGAAATACAGCTAATGAAGTTTTAAACTTTAGTTATTTAGCAAACAATTTTTTTGATTTTTTAAAAATTGTTTAAGTTGTCTTTTTAATCAAATGTCGTGTTATAACTTGAAGCAAGAAAAGAAGCTTAAATTAACATGTGCTTTTAAAATCAAGTGGTTCTATTTAATTACCGAGTTTTAATAAACCTTTTGCTGAATAATTGCAATTACTTATGGCTAAAAATTTGCAGCGTATCCCTAGAATTTTTTGATGTTTTAATAAAAATCATTTCATTGAGTTTTGTTGTTTTTTGTCCAGTAAAACATGCTTTTATTGTCGGTTACAAGGATACTCCCGAGACGACTTAAAATTACTTTGATGTTTGCGGTTCGATGAACTTCTATCTGTTTTATACTTCCATGGATAAAGTAAGTAAATCAGAAAATATTTTATATTACCAATTCTAAAAACTAAAACACTTATATTAAAAGCGAAACGTTGAAATGTTTAAGGAGTAAAATTAGATGAAAGTTTACACTGGTATTCATAAATAAAAAGCATTGAAACAAAACTCTTTAAAAAAAATCGTAATTTTTTCAAAGTTGTTGTATTTAGAAAATGTTTAGGACTAAACTTTTTCTAAATACAACATCATTAAAAAAAAAAAAAATTTCGCCTTTAATAACAGCTATTTGTCTTACAGTAATATTGCGTGCAATATTACACGTAATATTACGCACAATATTGCACGCGTGCGTTAGTACTTGCCATACAAAATAAAAAAACTTTTACAACAAACAAAAATGTGCGTATATAGAATAGTATTTAGAGCAGACTGAAATGTCAATATCGTGATACTATCAACAAAACAAGGCTACATTAGAGCAAGTTAAGAATGAATCAAAACGAGTATTATTGTTCATGGATCTCAATATATCCGACTTTAAATGAAGAGTTATTTACTATAAGAGCAGAATCATTTACTATAAGGATAAGCGTTAACACGCTAAACATTTAATGAGTGATATGAAAATGATGAATGTAAAGCCTTAATGAGTGATATGAAAGTGATGAATAATGCTTAAGAAAAGTTGAATTTTAGTTATATTACGTGTTTAATCGATCAAATATTAGTGGCGTGTCAAACATAATGATTTCTTAAATTTGTTGTAAATTAAAAACTCTAGATTTAGTTTAATTGAATTTTTTATCATTTTTTAGAGGACTTCATAAGAAACAGTAAGTGAAATAAAGTTTTTTTGATTATTATTAATTTAATTTTTTTTTGAGTTTACATTTGGGCTAGTTTTTAACTTTATGTGATTTTCAAAAAATTTTATAGATAAATAAATAGTGTCTATCAAAAAATAAATTTAAGTTCAAAAATTTATTTAATTTTTAATATCCTTTTTATGTAGTGAACTCAAGTGGATCTAGTTCTACTTGTACAATTTTACATTATAGTTTTATAATGATGATAACTAGCTTATATTTAAATTTTTCTTTCTGTGTTACACCTTTTTTCTTGTAATCTTTAGTCGTGTCGCCTTCTGTTGCTTCTGGTAATGTTACTTTTACTTTTTTTTATAAACCAAAATATAACTAATTTATAATTTTAAATTATCAAAGTAATAATTTTCTTGTAACCTTTAGTTATTTTGTCTCCTGTTGCCACTGGTAAGGTTACTTCTAGTTTTTTTTAATAAAACAAATGATAACTAATTTACAATTTTTAATTATCGAAATAATACTCTTTTTTGTAAACTTTAGTTGCGTCTCCTCCTGCTGTCTCTGGTATGGTTGTTTCTAATTTTTTTTATGTAAAGAAATGGAAAATTTTTCATTATTAAACAAATGGTAATTTACTTTGTTTTCATAATTGATTATAAATGTTCTTTAGATTCTTTACATATTTTACATGCATTTATATTTTGCTTTCAGCACTTACATATGCTGATTACACAGCATATCGGTCCCAGCATCCAGGACCCCTTTCAAAAAAATCTTTTTTGAATTGGGTTTAGCATGGTGGGGAAAATATCCCACATTTTAGATGACATCCCTACTCTGGTGCTGGGACACGTGGATAAAGAGGTCGAGAAAGAAGGCACAGTAAAAGAGGTGGAAATAGTAGGACCTTTAACTATTATTTTAACTATTATTTTGACTATGATTTACTAAAAGCCAAGACAAATTAATTAAAATTTTTGTTACAAAACAATGTTTTTATTTTTAGATGATAGTGGGAGGTGGTTACAATGCTCCGTTTACAAAAATATGGATATGTTGATGCATCTTGTAATATGGTAAAGAAATTTTGTACTATTCCTATTGTTTTAAAATATTATTTACTATTATTTTGAATAGTATAAATTAAAGTTTTTTAAAATCGCAATTAAAAACTTTAAATTTTTTTAGATTGGAGAGGCGGGGGGGGGGGGCTATACGCCCTTCACCCTAAACCAATGTCGTAAAGAAGTGAAATATAATTTTTGTATTTTATATTAGATTTACTCATTTTAATAAAGATTGAAATATTTATATTAATTAGTTATTTTTGATAATAGGCGGTATTAAACCATCACACCACAATCCACCCTTAACTTAAAACTACACCTCTCATATTTAATAGTGGTCTGAAAGCAAATTATAACAGTTTCTTGTATATAGAAGTTATAAACTTCATTAAAATAACTTTGTTTTGGTTAAAAAAAATGAATTTTTTAACGGTATAGATAGTGATTTGGTACCCCCTCTAGCCCCGTTAATACGCCTGTTGCTCAAAACTATTATCAATTTGCAGCTTACTCTTACACCTTTCTTTTGATACCAAGTTATAGACGTTTTAATAAGAATTAACAAAGTTATAACAATTTACGTAGAGAAAGACTTTATTTTGAGCACAGTTTCTTGAACAAATCCATATATCAAAAATTTGCTACTTAAAACCTTATAACTTTTTGTAGAATTGTTCAATTTTCATAATTTTTTCACCATTAAAATACGGTACTAAAGCTTTTTCTAATGATATATAACAGTCTAAGAATTAATCAATTTAAGTTTTTCATGTAACATACTTTCAGCCATTAACTTTATCATATGTTGATTCCAGTAGAAAAGGGTTTGCACATTTGTTGCAGTTAAAATGTGAGCACTAAAACTTCCTAACAGAAAAAGTAACGTAACAGTAAAATGTATAAATTCTATGCAAAATTATTATGGCATGGCAATTCATCAAAATGTCAACAACTTGTATGCTATGACAAAAGCAGTTTATACTAATTTATTTCAATTGACCAATTTTGAAAACACGCAATTCGCATTTCTGCATCAGTTTGCCCAAGAGAATTGAAAAGTTGGTGCAAATATTGGGCTCTCAATCTTAAAAGTTACAAACCAAAATCGTGTATACCAATCGTGTATACCTATAATCGTGTATAAGAAACTTCTTTTACCAGTCATCAAAAATCTTCAAGCTTCTAATTAATTGATCTTCTAATTAAATGTTAGCATGGTAACATAGCAACACAAAATGCCAATGAAGCTTTAAATTCAATTATATGGTCTCGCGTACCAAAGCACACATTTGTAAGTAAGTCTACGATCGAAATTGGAACACGCTCAGTAGTGCTACATTGGTGCTAATGGTATACTAGAAGTCTTAAAGTGCTTTGAATTAAATGGAATTGTCACATTAGCTTCATCATGTAAAATTGACAAAACCAGGACTCTATTTATGAAGTCAAAGTCAATGGTTAAAAGTAAAATGCAAAAAAAAAAAACTGAGAGTAGTTGAAAATGGATGATTCTTAAGTAAAAGATACAAGTAATAGTTACATTCCCGGTGGATTTTGATAACTTTTATGTTCTTTTTTTAATTTTTTTCCTCATTTATGCTTTTTTACCAATATTTCTTTTTTGAAACTTTGGGACACTTTTTAACATTAACCGAACTCTGCCTAATTATAAAATTTTCAGGACTTGTTTATTACAAAATAATACTTATTTTGACCCTCAGTTTTTTAATGCAAAGCTATAAAAGATGAAATATTGCAGTTAAAAGTGTTAAAGCTATTGATATTTCATATAAATGTGAAGTGATTTTGTTAAAAATACAATATTTTTTGGAATAATTTGAATAACAAAAATTCTCACAGTCAAGCAGGATAAAATATGCTAAGCAAACTATGTACAAAATTTTAGTTTGAGTTATAAAGGGAAAATCAAGTTATCAGCAGGGGTGTGGAATCGTAAAAAAAAAGTAACGACTCCGACTCCGACTCCAGTTGTTGAAATTTTTTGAGTAAAACTCCGACTCCAGTTGTTGAAATTTTTTGAGTACAACTCCGACTCCAACTTCGACTCCGACTACAACTCCAAAGCAAAATTTTTGAAAAATTCTTTGAATACTTTAAAAAATATTACGCAATATGAAAAAAAAAACTTTTTGACAAATTTATGAAACATTATTTGAGGTTTAGTATGAAAATAAGGTTAATTGAATGTTTTTACATGCACGTGCAATACTGAGTTTTACTATTAAAGTCGGAGTCGCGATTTTGTTTAGCAATTTCAATTCCGACTTCGCTAAAAATTTTATTTAATTTTCTTATAAGTCTCTTTTCCTCAAAAAAAGTTATTAAAGTTTACAATAATTAAAAAAACACTGCTTTCAGTTGTGTGCCACCTTAAAAAACTAAAATAAACCAAATAAGAGAGATAACTATGAAGGATCCACAAAAAACAAATTGAATTTAAAAACATAAACAAACTCTTTTATTTTGACATTTTCTGACAGTTTCTCTACCCAGGTAAAAAAAATTCTATAGAATTTCAATAAACCTTTGAAACATATGGCCTATAGAAATTCTATAAAATGTTTATAAATTTCTTTAGAAATTGCTATAAATTTTTTTTTTCTATAGAAAAAAAAGTAAAAAAAAAAGTTCTATAGAAGTTAGCAGAAATTTTATAGAAATTCTATAGAATTTTTAAAGGCCATTTGTTTCAAAAGTTTAAAGAAATTCTATAGAACTTTTTTTCAAGGGTATGGGTAGATAATCAAGGTAATATATCCGCGTTAAAGAGATTTTTAAATCAAAATTCGTGTAAAAGAGATTTTTAAATCATGAAATGTTTGACTACAACAGTATAAAGAGTTTACAAACAACTTCATACCCATTGTTTTACGCATTTTAAGTTATTGACACTTCATCATAGAGTGTTTGTAATAAAGATGAAAATAAATGAAAAAGAATTATAAAAGTTTTACACATATTGGATTTAAAAAAAGGTTTTGCTCTCTAAAGTAACGAATGTTTGTTTAGATTTTATTTTTGAATTAATGCACGTGGTTTCGTGCACGTTTGCAATATAGTACTTAGTCTATTAGTTTTGCAACTTTATTTTGTTTTAATATTATAATAGAACATCTTTATTTTTTGGTAGTTACATTTGAACACCAGACCTTTTATTTAAATATAAACATTCCATAAAAGGAAATAATTTAAACATTTAATAAAAGCAAATGAATGTGAGCATTATGGTTTTATCGTCACCAGCGGTTTTAAGCAGCCGTGACGCAGTGTTTAGAGTTCTGCTTTAGTAACAAGATGTTTGAGGTTCGATGTCTGTTCTGGACAGATAAATGACATGGGTCTGGATGTTGCCGTAAACTCCCTGGTTAATTTCTCAACTTTTTTTACTTTAACCCCTGACTATAGCAACTGAAACACATTTTTATTATTTTATGTTTTACACCAAAACACTGTAACTTTTTGTAGGTATTTTGCAATCTTGCGATTCATTTAGAAAAAAGTCATTCATCTAGAAAAAGGTCCACTGGTTAAACGTGAAATGACTAGAAAAACGCAGTAAAACACTTTTTTATATGGTACTAAAAGTCATAAGCCAAGTAACAAAAATCCCAAACAATGGGATACCCTAGGGACAAGACTTCTTAGAGACGATATTTTTGGCAATTAAATTGTGGTCTGAAATAATTATCTATTTTGTTATCTGTTTTTTAATTTTTTTTTTTTTTTTTTTTGTATCTATATTGTTGGATATTTTGCTTTCACTTTTGTTATTTGCATCCATTCATTTTTTAGTTTTGACAATGTTTTGCATATTATAAGCACCTGCATGAATTTTTTAAAATCGATAAGTTTTAAATGCGCATGCAGATAATAAAACTGATGAGCTTCCAACAACAGAGAAACATAATTGTAATTAACAACACAATGACGTAATTGTGACAATTTTGAGTTTGGATTAAAAAAAGCAACTTGAAAATTGAAAATTTCTGTTTTCAACATATAAAGAATAATAATTCTTATAATAATATATAAATAATGTAATATATAAATATAAATAACATATAAATAACTAATAATAAATATTTCGGTGTAAAATTACAATACTACAGTGTTTCCTTCTTAATTCAATTAATATGGTATTATACCAAAATAATACAATTAATATGGTGTTATACCAAAATTATGCAATTAATATGGTGTTATACCAATATTATGCAAAAAAATAAGTTAACATTTGAAGTACCTCACCTTATAATTATAACAATTCACTTTTTTGAAATTTTGCTGCAAGAAGATTTTTAAAATAAACAAAGTAGAAGTGAGATCTTATCATTCGAACCCCTATAATCCGAAAAAATTATTTAAGTTGAACAAATTATTCAGTGCGTTCAGGGTTTAATATTTAAGTTGAACAAATCATTCAGTGCGTTCAGGGTTTGATATTTAGGATTGAACTCCTATAAATCAAAAGTTCTTGTCATTTGAACATATTTTAAAACACAATGAGGTTTCTATAACATTAGTTTAACTAAAGCTCCTTGATTTTAACTAACCATTCCTAATACTGTGTAAGGGACTCAACTTATGACCTTTTACAATCAAAACTTATTCCAACAACCAAATTAATACTAGATTGATCAGATTTAAAGGTTTCTTTACATTAATGTATTCACTCACGATTCTTGAACAACTCTATCTATAAACCTCAAAACTATTTTAGCAATAAAATAAAACTTTTTAAAAAGTAAACAAACTGAATCTAATTTGAAATTATCTTAAGTGTCATTTTTTTTAAAAAAAAAAGTATTTTTTTGGACAAAAAGCACCTCCATACATTGAGCTAAAAAAACTGGTGAATTTTTTCATCATTAGCGTTACGGAAGTGATTTCATTCAAGAATTTATGAAAAATTCATGAAATTTATGCTATAAAAGAAAAATTTCACGAAATGAAACCTTATTTTACTCCAAGTTGTGCAAACAATTTTAATTGTGTTGATTCAACCTATATCCCTCAAAACATTCTCTATTAGGTATTACGTTGCTATATTTCTGAAAGGTGCTGCGTTTTAAATCCATGTTGATGAAACATTGAGTGTATTAATGACTTTTAGTTGTTTGTATAACATTCCAACTGTTAAGTGAAAGATTGCGTTTGACATATTTTTTTTCGTTATCTGACGTTTTCTAACTAAATCCATATTAATAACGTTGAAGTTTTTTTAAATTTTCGACGATGCTCACCTAGGGTCTATTCTATTCGCAAGTGTCGCAAAAGTATGAACTATTGAAGTACATAGCTGAGAAAAAAATAACCCATAAAAATATACAAACTGGTGTCAAAAGACCAATTAGAGTTTCGAACGAAAACAAATATCGGTTTCTAGGTCTGCAAGCCGCGCAATATTTCAGCCTAACATAAACAATTACATAATATTTCGTTATAGTCACGGCCAAAATAACAGGTAATAGCTCTATGATGCGTGATGAGCAAGCGCGATATCTTGTCTGATAAACAAGTTTGCACAAAATCATAAATAAATTGGAAACAATATTATTATTTGAATACTTAGATAAATACAAAAATGTTGTTATAATTTGTTTGTTGCTGGGGATTTACCAAATTTTAAACAACTCTATTCAACTGCGATATTGCTTTTACAAAATTTAGAGTTTTCTTTGCACAATTTTTTTTGCAAAAGAAACTCTGTTGCTACGGTCCAGCGAACACAAATTGTTTTGAGTTGGGTTTGAAATTAATTTTTCCTCCGATAAGCATAATTTTAATGTTAACCTACCCGCGATGTTGAATACAAATTCAGAACCGGTTCAATGAGTGAGCAGGTTTTTGAAAGATCAACGAAGTGTGAGGGTTTCTCGCATCACTTTAAGTTCTCTCAGGAACATAACTGCACAGGTTCACTTGAAAACAAGCCTTACAAACCTCAAAGAGGTAAAGCTTAAATATGTTTCATACTTTTGAAAATATATAAGTGTACTTTCTTAAAAAAAAAATCTTTTATATATTTTTTTAACTTTAATAAAATAAATTAAGTTTTTAAACGTTTTTTAATTTGTTATGTGATATCTAATGAGGTTTTATTCTGTAGTTAATTTATGTTTAACAATTTTTAAAAACTCGATCAATTTTATGAAAGTTTATTTTTTAAACTTGGTTTACTTTTATTAATACTATTAATATTGGTTTATTTTTTGTTTCAGTGTATCTTTGCTCGAAATGGATTCGAAGCTAGTTCTTCTTTTCGCCTTTTTTGGGGCATGCATGGCAGGAATCCCCAGACAAATGGGTATGTGTGTTGTACAAGTTAATTTTTTAGTTTAATTTATTTTAAAAATACATTAAAAAAAAACTATTAAATAAGTTTTGATTTTTGTTTGATTTTTTAGTTTCAACAGTATAATAAATTATAACTTTTATTAACTATAATACAAACTAAATAATTAATTGTTCCAATAAGTTTAAATTATCAACTATTTCAATTAAATTTATATACAATTCTTGTTAATAGCTCTAGAACGTTATATAGGGTTTATATAAAAACAATAATTTTAGATAAACGATCTCCAAACGCTTGTGGAGGAAGTTGTCCAGCTTTCTGCGCACCTGCATGTATTCCAATGTGTTGTTACGCTCAACCAGCTCAACCACCACCACCACCTGGTCCACCAGGAGCCCCAGGACCATTAGGTGCCCCAGGACCATCTGGACCAAACGGACCACCAGGACCACCAGGGCCACCAGGACCACCAGGACTTCCAGGACCACCAGGACCACCAGGAGCTCCAGCTGGACCACCCGGACCACCAGGAGGACCAGGACCAAACGGACCACCCGGAAACCGTGGACCACCCGGACCACCAGGACCACAAGGACCAAATGGACCACCAGGACCTAATGGACCACCAGCTCCACCACCACCCCCACCACCACCACCACCACCACCATGCCCAGCTATCTGCATTACCCAGTGTGTCCCATCTTGCCCACCACCATGTTGCCCACAGAAGAAGCATTAGATAAATAATAGCAATGGTGCCAGGAAACACAAGTTTTTCATGTGAAATGAACTCTCTGACACATCTTTTGCATTGTATATGAAGAATTTGTAAAAATTTAGTTTCTTTTGGAACAATATTTCTTAAATAAGCAAAAAAATATTTGTTTTGATTTTCAGACCGTTTGATTATAGTTATTACAGCTTATGCCTTTTTCTTCTTTTTATGAATTATTCGTTATATGAACTCAATTATTTTCATAAATTATACACATATAAATATCGGGCAAATTTTTTTTTTTTTTTTTTTTTTTTTAAATTTTATTTTATTTTGCTGTTTATATAAATTACAATTTCCTTTCACCAAAAATAAAATATAATTACAAATTTACAAGTAATAAACAGTCAGGGGCTCAAAGAAGATATGGATGGCAAAATACCAACCTAATCTTTTCATAGAGTCCCTACAGATCATAACAATAATATGTGGTAATATATGGTTAATAAATCAAGTAGAAAAATTAGGAAAAAAAAAAAAGAAATAGTAAAAAAGAAGATATAATATTTAAGAATGAAAATAGAGAAAAAAGAAGATGTATCAATTAAAAGTAAAAATACCCTCAATTAGTCAAAAAAGAAGCTATAATATTTAAAAATACATATAGTGAATAAAGAACATATAGTAAAATATATATATATATAGTTAAAAAGATATAATATTAATAAATACTAATCGTCACAAAAAGTTATAAAAGAATATATTTAAATACAAATTTAAATATATGATATTATATTCAACATATAATATATAAAGATTACATATAATATTTTAAAATACAAACTGTTAAATAATCAGATATAATCCTAAAAAAACAAAAATAAAAACTAATCCGTAAGATTTAGAACGTAAGTTTTTGTTTGAAACCGAAATGAATTTAAAGATTTTGCCATATTTAAATTGTCTTTCAAAAAAGAGTTCCATAGCTTGGGACCTCTATAAATTATACTATATTCTGTGTATTTGTTTACTTTTTTAGGTAATTTATATGTGTTACTTTGATTTATTCTTAAGAAATACTTCTCATTTAAATTTTTATTAAATTTAGTTATGAAGATTTCAGGAGTTAGATTATTGGTATATTTATACATAAAGTTTAGGTGTTGGAAAATATTTATCTGATATATGTTCATCATTTTCATATCCATCATTAAGGTGGTATACCCCCTTCAAAATTATCTTGGAAGTGAAATCTTATAGTCAAATTTAAAAATAAGCCTATGAAAGATCTTATTAAACGAAATTGATTTATAAAATTACAGGTAATTATGTTGTCATGACAACCACCTAAAATGGCAGATATAAGAAAATTTGCACATCGCACTGTCAAAAATATCTCAAATTATAATAGAGTGTTCAAAGTAAAACTTGGCCCAATGATAAAAAACAGTTTGATCTATGCAATCTGCCAAAAGTTTTTAAATCTGACTATTAGTTTCCATGTAGCACTACACGGATTATGAAGATTTTTAAATAAACAATTTTTTTAGTGCTGAAACAGCAATATCTCAAACTCTGAAATGTTTTATAATTAACTTTTGGCAGATTGCATGCATCATATAAAAACACATCACTGCTGAAAATTTGGTTAAAAACTGATTACTACAAAATTAAATAACTGTGACGGGAGATTCAAAAGTAGAAGTTAGCAAGTAAAGACTTTAAAAATGAAAAAAGAGAAAAATATGCAAATCAGTTACTGAACAACAATGATATAAAGTGCTATCAATTATTCTGTATCCACATATATTTTTTTTATTAGAACTTGCAGAAGTATTAATGGGGTTTACCTTGGAATAAGATACATTTATTAAGCTTTGTGAATCTGTAGAAGGTAGAAGACTAATATTTGCTGAATTTGTTTTATTTAAAGTATATTGATTTCCATGAATTCTTTTTTTTTGATTTTTTTTTTATTGAGTAGCGAATTTCACACATTCTCTACCCATTAAAAGTATAAGGTTTAGTTTATATAAACATAAACAGATGCATAGATATATATATATATATATATATATATAACTTTAAGGTGACAATTCGTTTTAAAAAAACTTCTGCAAGAAAATTATGAGAAATCCGGTTATTGCTTTTACTCTTACAGATGTTTTGATGAATGGAAAATAGAAACAAGTTAATAACTCATTTCAGCAAGCTTTTTTCTCAGTATTAAAATAATAAGTTAGGGGAGAATTTCTTGGCCAAATAAAAATTTAACCGTTGCTATGGAGGTTGTCAAGGGCGCTTAAAAAAGTAAGGTTCAGTAAAGTTTGTTTTCCTCAAGTTATATACTGAATTTTAAAAAATGGTTTTCAGAATATGATTCTATAATAAATTTTGAATAAAATAAAACAACAAAAATTTTTTTGAAAAATTTGATATTTCTGAGGGGGATACCACCTTAAAGGTTTGGTGTGCTCCCTCCTTTTTTTGTTGTTTATAATTCTACAAGCATGTTTAATGATCATCCACAATAACTCCTAAAAACTTTATAGTATCTTGTTTTTTAATTTGTTTATAATTTATAATAAGTTTTGGTAGTTTTAGAGGAAGGTTTTTTTCTTGTGTTTTTAATGAAACAAGGTATAATGTTTTTTTCAACGTTAAGAGAAAGTTTATTTGACCTGAACCAATCATTTACTTTTTCTAATTCAATGTTCATGTCAGCATAAAGTTGATTAATATTGCAGTTAGATAAGAATAGATTTGTATCGTCTGCAAACATGATAGCATTTAGTTTTAATGATGCATTATTAAAATCATTAACATAAATTAAAGATAAGAGCGGTCCTAGGATCGATCCTTGAGGCACTCCACGCAGAATATTCAGTATTCCAGATTTCTTGTTTTGAATATATTGTTTTCTATAAGATAGATAACTTTTTATCCAATGATATAATTTATTGCATACCCCGTACCATTTTAGTTTTTCTAACAGAGTAGAGTGATCAACGATGTCGAATGCCTAAATCTATGAATACTCCGAGAGTAAACTTATCTTTTTCAAAACCATCAGTTATTTGGTCGACTAATTCAATAATGGCATGTTCTGTTGAATAATTCAAATAATTTAATAAATTTACATATTTTAGTAATAAAAAAAAATTATTTTTTATTATCTAATGAAAATTTAGTAACGCAGCACCTATAATGAATGGCAATACATCCGCTATACAAAGTACAATACGTAGCTAAAAATACTACATATAAATAATAATTCAAACGAAATATTTACTGATTAACATAATTTTGTTAATCATTAATATATATATATATATATATATATATATATATATATATATATATATATATATATATATATATATATATATATACATATATATACATATATATATTCATATATTCATATATACATTCTAGGTGTGGTCTTGGATGAAAATTTGTATAATCCATATAAACACTTTAGAGAGAAAGCTCTCAAGAAATATTTCATTAATGTATAAAGCAAAACCTTTCCTAAATATCATTTCCTTAAGAAGTTTATACTTTTCATTAATACATAGTCATCTAAGCTATGGTAACATGGCCTGGGCAAGCACAAACTGTACTAAGCTTAAAAAACTCTACAGTAAACAAAAACATGCCTGTAGAATTGTCTTCGGAGTAAGTAAAAAAGCGTCTAGTGAACCTCTCTTATGCAAACTTGGAGCATTGAATATATACAAAATTAACATACATCTTGTTTTACAGTTTATGTACAAAATAAAAATTGGACTATCTCCGCCGATATAAGTCATAAATACCCTACTAGATTCTCATATAACAACTTTGTCATCCCAAAATTTCAAGGCCTTCTTAAACAGGCCGCGACAGCTCATTTTCCGTAAAATTAGCGAAGGCCGACTTTTTTACGGTTAAAATTATTTTTTATCTTTGCTTTTGTAAACAAACTTCAGAAACAAATAAAAAGCTTTATTAGGACAAAACATTTTGATTGAATTTCGAAAGCAAATATTGTAGGAATTTTTTTTACGTTTAGAAATAAGTTAATTACAATAAAAATTTAAGGAGTTTAGCTAAAAATGACTAAATCTCGTTTTTATAACTATATGTTTATTTTAGCTGTTTAACACTTGTAATACAAATAATAAATTTTTTGATAAAAACAAACAAATATATTAACTTTATTTTATTAAAAATATTTTGACTTTTTTGACTCAAAGTATTTTATTTTGAAGTTAAAAGTTTTGCTTGTTTTATTAAACATTCCTTCCCAAAATCTTCAGAGTGTTTTTTACAATAATTGTTTAAAAAAATGTTTGCCAAAATGCAGCAAACTTTTTTAACACTTTGAACAAGCAATTGAAATTTACTATTGCAGTTAATAAAAATGTCAATTAATCCTTTCTTGCACAGCAATGGTGAAACTTTATTCACAAGTGTCACTTCAAATATAAAAAAACAATAAAAAACAAAGTAGACTAAATTGTCAGAAGGTTCTCTTAGTCTTCCCCTATTCAAAGAACTGATCAAAGTTCCATATTTTTGAAACATATCAAAGCTGTCTGTTTCTTCTAAAATTGAATGTAATTCTGGAAGTTTGTAAGCAATAAAACCTGCAATATATAAAAGTCCTTGTTTGCATTCATTTGGCAACTAATCCTCGCAATTTTCACATATTGACATAATAAACTCCATATCAAGTTCACACTTATCACAGTGGTGGTGAGCAGGAGGAAATATTGTAAAATCTGTATGCTTGTCTAGCAACTTTCTAGTTTTGTTAATTCTAAATTTTTGAATAACATTTTGCACAGTTATCAGATATGTGCCACCTGACCCTTGCCAATATTTCCTAAACTGTTTTTCTAGTGCATCTAATTGCATATGTCCTAACAATACATAAGATACACCGCAATTCAACAAATACTTGGCACAGCTTGCTAATCTTTTAGAAGTTTTTTGCAAACACTTGCAGTATCCATTGTTAACTTTTTCTCTCTTAA